TGCTACGCATCCTCCCACTCCTTCTCACCGTCATCATCACCACCACCACCATCCCCGCTACCACCACCATCACCACCACCATCATTATCACCACCACAACCATTATCACCACCACCACCACCATCATCATCATCATCACCACCATCACCATCACCTTCACCATCACCATCATCAGCATCAGCACCAGCATCATCGTGATCATGATCATGATCATGATCATGATCATCATCATCATCATCATCATCATCATCATCGTCGTCGTCGTCGTCGTCGTCGTTATCATCATCGTCATCGTCATACTTACCAGCATCATAAGTATCACCAAAATCATCATCACCACCAGTATTCCCATCACCATCACCATCACCATCATCACCATCAGCAACAGTATCAGCATCATCATCATCACCATCATTATTATTCTTATCATCACCCTTATGACCATCATCATCAACATCATCCACGTCATCGACACCATCAGCATCATCCTCGTATCATCATCATCATCATCAACATCATCAACACCATTAGCACCACCATGATCATCGTACTGCTCCTCCTCCTCCTCCTCATCCCCCTGTCCCCATCCCCCCGCCTCCTCCTCCTCCTCCTATCGTTACCATCGTGATCTGCATCAGCATCAACATCACTAGCATCATCAACACCATCATCATCAATAACACCATCATCATCTGCCTCCCGTCTTCCTCCTCATCCTCCTCCTCCTTCTCTTCCTCCGCATTCTCGTCATCCTGTTCATCATCATCCTCCCACTCCCGCCCCATGCTCCCAATTCATCCGCCGCCTTCTCCTCCTTCTGCTTCTTCTTCCTCTCCTCCTCCTCCTCCTCCTCCTCCTACTCCTCCCCCTCCTCCCCCTTCCCATTCGCCCCTCCTTCTCCTCCTCATCAACATTCCTCCTCCTCCTCCTCTTCCCCCCTCACTCGGTCGCCCCGATCCCGCTGCAGCTGCTGCTACTCCGGCAACTGGCGCGGTCGCCGCGGTCACCGTTGCTGGCGTCACTACCAATGCTCTCTCTGCTTCAATCCGCTGTGGGCCCTCATTTGTCTCTTTCGCCTCCACAACGTCCTTCTTATCCTCCATCGCCTCCTCCTGTCCGCCTCCACAGCGTCCTTCTTATCCTTCTTATCCTCCTCCATCGTACAAGCAAGTGTCAGAACGGCTGTGCGTACTCAAACTACGACTGCACGGGAAAACGATGGGCATATTTTGTGTATACGCACCACACAGTCTTAAACCTCTACCTGAACGCGCGGGCTTTTACCACGTATTGGACAAACAATTCAGAGCATGCTGAGCGAACCTGGGAAAAATCATTCAGGGAGACTTCAATGCACGCATTGGCCAGGCGCATCCCGGAGAAGACGCTGTTGGCGAGCATGGCTGGGGGAGGGAAGCCGTGCACGAAGTGGAATCACCAAACAGAGAACTACTACTAGAATTCTGCGTGGGCGCAGGCCTTGTAAACACCTTCATGAATCAGAACTTGGACATGAAAGTTACTTTCCGGGAAGCTGGGGTGTTACCACTGGCTGCCATTACACCCGCATCTCATAATATCTTGGATTTGGTGTTATGTGAACCTGGATGGTTGGGATCATTCAAAGAGTTCGGCAGCCACCGAGGAGCAGCGCTAGCTACAGACCACTACTTGGTATCATGGTCACTGGGAATTGAAGTTTCGCCTGCAACCACCAAGCAGACCTCCGGTTACGACAATACGGCGCTCAAGCATAAAGATGTCCGCGAAGCTTTCACAAAGATGTTCAATTCCAGGGAGGGCGCAGCCGACACTGCGCAACAAACTTGGGAGAACATGAAACGTGCGATCGCTGAGGCTGAACATGTTCTGCCCCGTAAGGGCCGCAAAACATAGCAGCCATGGGTTTCTCAGAAGACATTAGATCTGATAGATCAAAGGCGTTTGGCACGATCCTCTCAAAATCCGATGGCAGAAAGGTCGCTACTCAAACAAGTAAGGAAATCAGTTAAGCAAGATAAAACAACTTGGATGGACCAGCAAATCGCTGATGGGTGCTGGGCCTCACTTAAGCGAGTTTGCCGGCCGAAGCCGCGCAGGCAGGGAAGGATCAGAAATCTGGATGGCGAACTTGTTGTAAGCACAGAGAAAGCAGACACAATGGCGGAGCACTTCGAAAAAGTGCAGTGGAAAGTGCGACCTGCGACGCTCATACCGCGTGAGCCACTTGGACCACCATTGCTCATTTCAGACGTCGATTCTCAATGCAAGAGGTGCGAAAGGCGACTTCTAGTTCAAAGAAAGGGAAAGCACCTGGACCAGATGACATTTCGCCGGAATATTGGAAGACCCTCGGGGATGACCCCCAAGGGCTGGAGACGATTACGAAGCTGATAAATCAATGCTGGCACGAGAAACAAGTACCGGAAGATTGGCGACACGCAGTGGTGGCGACCATATACAAGAGCAAAGGCCCCGTGGACCAGTGCGACAGTTATCGCCCGATCAGCCTTTTATGCGTGATGTACAAGTTGTTCGCAAGCTTGTTTACTGATGAGGCTCCAAGAAGCAGGGGCCGAAGACAGACTAACTGGGACACAATACGGATTCAGGCGGAAACGCGGCACGACCGACGCCATCCAAGCAGCGCGCAGGCATATTGAGCTAGCGCGCGCCACACGCGGGGGTTAAGTTGCATTATTGGCTTTGGATTGGAAAAAAGCGTTCGATTCGATGAACGTGGACGCCCTCCTCGATGCACTCGCGACTTTCGGCGTGCCGCCGCACATGCTGCAGCTCATTGGCAACATATACGGCTCTCGCCACTTCTGCGTCGCAGATGGGAGCCGGAGGTCAGGAAACAGGGAGCAGAAGTCAGGGATTTCACAAGGGTGCCCATTGTCGCCGTTTTTGTTCGTAATGGTCATGTCGGTATTGGTCAAAGACGTGGAACATAATCTGGACACCGATATTCGACGCTCAATGGATTGTGGGGATATGTCAATTCTTGACGATACAGTGCTGATTGGACGCAACGAACACCATTTACAACAACTTCTGAACGCAATTGCCGGGGCAGGCGCCAATATGGGAATGGAGCTGCACTGGGATAAGTTTCAATTTTTGCAGATCATTTGTCAAATGCGTATCACAGACCCCGCTGGGAAAACCATCTCGCCTACGCCGCAAATGACATATTTTGGGGCCATTCTGTACGACAGCGGGGACATCAAACCAGAGCTGGGGCGGAGATTGGGCGCAGCATGGGGGGAGTTTCAAAGATACGCGCATGCGTGGAAACACACTGCGGTGAGCAAAAAACGCAAGTTGGAAGTACTCTCTGCTCTCATCACAAGCAAAGTACTGTATTCGTTAAGTTCGGCGTGGCTTAACAAAGCAGAGAGGAGAAGGATAGATGGGTTCCAAGCTCGCTGCTTGAGGCTTATGCTGGGCATTGCGCACCCTTACATATCTAGATTATCAAACAAAAATGTTCTTCAACAATCTGGTCACAAATCGTATTCGTCACAGCTATTACGACAGCAATTGGTACTGTTTGGGAAAATTTGCCGATCACATGACACAGATGCTTTGCGACAACTCACATTTCAGCCGAGCAGCCCACGACCGGCGACCGAATCATGTAAACGACCAGTCGGGAGACCCAGACATGAGTGGACAAAGGAACTATATCGTAAAATTCGGTGTCGGTTCTCCTCTGATCAACACCTGTACGAGGCCGCGCGGGATCAGATAAAGTGGCGAGAGTTCTGTGCTGAGTTCGTTTTCGGCACTGGCGAGGACGATTTGCTCTAGCGGGAACGCATGGACACTCCATGCCAAAAATCGTTTTCACTTCATCCATCGTTCCCCCTCGCCCTTCCCTCCTTCCTCTGGCACGTGTTTGGCGTGTCTGTTGCGCCATGCATGCGTTTGGTATGCTTTCTCATATCCTGCGCGCGTTTGGCGCGCCGCGCTCCAACTTTATAACCAATTTCCCCTACGCGCCGCATGGCGTATGGCTTGTACTGTACAGCCTCCTCCTGCTCCTCCGCCTCATTCGCGTCCTCATCATTCCTCGTCGCCCATGTAGAATCATAATGTTTCTCCTCATCCTCCTTCTCGTCCTCCTTCTAAAGCTCACCTGCATCATCCTTATCCTGCCCCTCACCGTCATAAGCATCATCACATTCGTTATCGTCAGTAGCATCCGCGTCTTCGTCAGCATCACCATCGTCGTTGCCCGCATCATCCCCATCATCATTCGCGACATCATGTCAATCATCGTTCGCCTCCTCGTCAACCTACTCTTTCATAATACCCCCCTCTCATCATCCTACAGCTACAAGTCATAGTCTGCCTCATCACCACACCTCCTCATGAACGTTCACATCATCATCATCATCATCATCATCATCATCATCATCATCATCATCATCATCATCATCATCATCATCATCGCCACCACGAACCTCATCCGCAGCATTCCCGCTACTCCCATCGTCACCAGTCCCCTCCACACTAGCGTCGTCATTACATTCGCTCTCCTCGTCAGCAGATTCGTCCTTGGCATGACAGTATGCATCCTCCTTGTCATGGTCACCATTCGTTTTAAGCTGCACGCTTTTTGCTACCAGAGTCCAGACGCAATCGCTGGACACACACCCTGCTTCCCGACGGTTCATGGCGGGCGGTCGCTCGTCAACCTCTGTTGCTCAGCCTCCACGTCCGCCTCCGCCCCCGTATCAGCACGATCATTCTCGTTCCTCCTCCTCCACCTCCTCCTCCTCCTCTTCGTCCTCCTCCTCCTCTTCCTCCTCCTCCTGTTCCTGATCCTAATCCTTCTCTCCCTCCGCCTCCTCCTCCTCCTCCTCCTCCTCCTCCACGCCGGTCCTCATCCACCAACTCTCCTTCTCCTCCTGCTCCTTCTCCACCTCATCCTCATCATTTGTATCCTCTTCCGATTCGCCTCCTCCTCCTCCTCGTGCCCGAGCCGGTGCCTCCGACGCCGATGCCGCTGCCTGGGCAGGCGTCGCTTCCGGTGGAGAAAATGAAGGTGAGAGACAGGCAGAGGGGCGAGGGAACGGGATGAACTGATGGAAGCGGATGGGGAGGAGGGGGATTGGTTGCATGGTCGGGACGCGGATTGAAAACCTGTGAGCTCAACACTCCTGTTGCACTTAAATCGTCAGAAAAGTGATCCCACCAGCCATCTGGGCGTAGGTGGTCTAGGGAGCTTCCTCTTAGACGCCCTTCTTGTTTCTCGGGGAGAGGTTTACCACTGCTGTCCACCTAGCGGCGACCCTTGCCAATGCTGAGACTCAGGTGTTACTTACGTGGTGGTAGGGCGGTAGGGAGTGAGCGAGATGGCCGTCAGTCAGGGGGTAGTTTGACCCCTCCAAGATGGCGCACGATAGACACGCTTCGCGGCACCATACCGAACTCCACCGACGGCCCCAATGGCTGCGTTCGCATGCGCCCACCGCATCTGTTTCGGCACACCTCTCACGCGTGTCGTGGCCCCATAGGGAATTCCACCGACAGCCCCAGTGGCTGCTTTCGCATGCGCCGACCAGACAAATTTTGGCACACCCGTCGTACGTTTCGTGGCCCTATAGGGAGCTCCTCCGAATGCGGTGCGTACAACGACGGTACTCACATCTGCATATGGTTGGGTGTTGCGCCCGCTTTTTTTTTTTGTTTTTTGTTTTTTTTCGGGGCGCTTGATTTTCAAATCCGTGCGCAACCACAAATGCTAGGAGGCTTTCCGCATGCGCGCGACGACGCGCGCGCGTGCACTTCGTCCCGGTTTCTGCAACAACGATTCTTGCGACAGCATGTGCGCAATGACGTTCGAGCGATTTCGACATGCGCGCGCGCGAGGCACGTTTGTTAGAACTTGGTAGATGTGACGAACATCTTGAAACATCGATGGTCCTCTTAAGAATCTGCAAGAGCGCGAACGCATGCTAAAAAAAACATCCGTGCTTCGAAACCAAATGTTTTCAGCTGTTTTCGGGGCGCTCGATTTTGGAATCTCTACGAACACACAAGGTGTGTGAACGAATTCCGGCACGCGCCCGCGACGACGCGCGTGTGCCCCTCGCCCCATTTATTGAAAAAGGGTTCTTGACAACTGTTTCGCATTCGCATTCGCATTCGTATTCATGAAGGGAAACTGGGACACACAAATAAATACACACAAATAAAATGATTCCCCATATTTTCCCATATTTTCTGGGTTTTTGTCTTCCCCCCCACTTCCCATATTTTCCCATATTTTCTGGGAATCGCAAATTAATTGTGTCTGTGTGTTTTTTTCCCTCCTGAATTCACACTCTCATCAGGGCATGGTCTTTGTCTCCATGGGCCGGAGCGTGGAGGTCGTCACCTCTCTCTGTGCGTACACGTGCGGGGGATGACTTTTGAGAAGCGAGTGTGCGCACGGAGCATGTGCGCGAGGAGCGCCGGGAGAAAAAACGGGAAGCGCCCCTGGCCGAGCTCACTCGCGTGGGCCCCCCCCGAAGCCACGCGCCGGATGCACATGTGCAGCCACGCCCGGCCTGCACGGCTGATCGCAGAAGGGGCGAGCGCTGGGAAGGCCGCTTGCCGCAATTGCATCTGGGCGCGCATGTATGAGGGGCGATCAATGGGCGATTCCGAAAACCCTGAACCCAAAGACGTTTTCATCTCTTGGGGGCGCCTCGTTTACTTCCGCCGCCTTCTGCCGCCCTTCCTTTTTTTCACAGCACTGCGCCCAACTACCTTCGGGACGGACGCTTCGTGAGGGGCCAAAGTCAAAACCTACCGAAATCGGCGCATCTAAAATACTGTATTTCAGACGAGAGGGCCCGAGACGAGGGGCGCGAGCACAGGACAAGAGCAGCTCTGGCCCCGCCCTCACGCGCCCCCGCCCCATGCAGAGACGGCGCTGCGAGAGCGGCCCCTCGACCCCCTCTGGGGTCTCGGAGGCCGCTCATCCCAAAAACTTTTCAAAGCTCAGAGACGGGGACGGGACGGGCCCACGAGGGAGGAGGAGGACGGGGGCAGCGGCGGCGGCAGCGGGCGGGGCCTCACTGAACACCCATGAGCACAGCGACGAACGAGTTCTACCCTACGGCCCCCAGCACGTCGAGGTAGCATACGTGTCCGCCCTCGGCCGCTCGCATTCACGATGCTGATTTTGCACGAGAGGTCGCCAGTGGTGGTGCTGAAGGCCCATCAGAGCTGGTAAAGGATGTGCGCTGGCGCTTGAATATTTCTGCGGTCGATGGCTGGGCCTGCTGGAGGCGAGCCCGTCTGTCTGGCAAAACTGTGGCGACGTCGAACCTGGCAGAACCAGGATTGTGTGCCTCTACTCGGTCTTGGGCTTCTTGGTGGTCGCTTCGGCGGCGAGCAGCTCCTCGAGCTCGTCGTCCTGCTTCGGGGGGAGGAGCTGCTGGATGGAGAGCTCGGGAATGTCCTCGTGTACGTGCGCCGCCGTCAGAGCGTACTTGAAATCGATGTGGATGGTTGGTGCCCAGATCCAGCGTACTTGGTTCTCCTCGATGCGGTGGCTGGCGCCGTCGGCGGAGCTCGCTGCTGGGGTGCTCATGAACTTCTTGGGAGCGTCCGCGAACATGTCCAGGCTCACCTTCTGATGGCTGCGGACGACCTGGGTGACCACTGTGTCGATCTGGGTCGAGATGGGCACCTCGTCTGGCTGCTCCACCTGGTCGGGCTGAGCGAGATCTTCCACGATCGGCTGCACCACGGCCTTGCGAAGGTCATCCAGAGGGTCGTGACATACTGCAGTCCGTGAGGGACCCCGCGCGCGGGTTCGGTCACTGTGGTCTGGTAGCCGTGCTCCAGAGTCTTCTCGAGCTCCGATCCCTCCGCCACCGTCAGCGTGAAGTTGCCGTCTCGGGCGAGCAGCTGGTGGGCGGCTTCGCGGAGGAGCTTCAGGCGGCACCTGCGGGTCTGGAGCTTGTCGTTTGCGTCCAACTCGGTCGTGTCCTCGGGGAGGACCAGGTCGATCTTCGGCTTCGTCCACTGCTTCGCGCCCTCGAGGTTCCACATGGGCGTCCGACTCTTGCCGCGGGGCAGGAGGGGCAGGTCCTGGTGGTTCGGGCCCCGCTGACTCACGCGCTTGAGCCGAGGTGGGCGACGGTGGAGCACGGCGGCGCTGCAGGCGACAGTGGCGGACCAGGGTATCCTTGCGACTGAGCTTGATGTAGCAGTGGGGGCACTTCAGGGCTCGCAGCTGGTCCTCTGCGAGGTCCGCGGGGTTCGCATACTTGCCGTGCACGCTAAACATGTGGTTGTCGAGTCCCTTGAGTCCCTGGCACATCCGAGCACACAGGGGGCGCTGGAACAGGGTCTCAGGCGGAGGGCCTTCGCCAGCGGCTATCTTCGCTTCGTCCTCCGTCACATTACTTCGCACCCGTCTACGGCGGGCTCGAGGGACCTGACTGAGCCATCGGAGCCAAGGGCGAGAGGGTACAGGTTCAGGGCCCTCAAGTTCGTGATCCGCACGGGCCTGCTGCTGGGCTTCTGGGGTGGTGACCTTCCAGAGCTTCCTGAGGTCCTCCTGGAGTACGCCGAGCAACGAGTTGATTTCCTTATGCTTGGCCCCCTCGAAGTTAAACCTGCCGAAGGCTACCGCCCGAATCAGCTTCGTGGGGTCGTGCTGGGCCTCGGGGTCCTCAGGGTCCTGCTCGGAGCCCTCGGGCTGCTTTTTCTGCTGCAAGTCGGGGAACGCGGGACGTATAACTCCCTGCCGCCACGCTAGGCGCCGCTCAAGCAACGTAGACGCCGCCGTCGGGGCTCGTGTTGTACGCCTTACTTCAGCATTACTCACGTGATGGACATGGGCAGGAGGGCGTGCCAAGTAGCGTAGCTTACGAGTCTGCCAGTGCCCTGTGCGGTTGAGGTCTCTCTTACTCAGGACTGCCACCTCAAGGCCGTGCAGGGCTGTCGAACGGACCAGGGAGCACCGCAGCCTAGCTCGAATACGTACACTAAAGTGACCCTTGAAGGCTCGACGTGCAAGGCGTGCGTGTGCTGCATTAGCTCCTTGGATTCTGTGAGTAACCTACTCCACCATGCTGCCATCGTCGCGCTGCTTGGTGCCTAGGTACTTCGCACTGGGCGTGGCATGGACTGGGGTCTGCTGCATTCGAATGTCCGTTCGCTGCGATCGGATCGTGGCTCGTCTGCTTTTGCTTTGCTTGCCAGTCGTGACGATCAACATCTTATTTTGGTGTCATTTACCTTCATCTTGCCCTCAATGATTTCCGTTTTGAGGAACTCCAAGAACCGAGAGACCGTATCGAAATCTTCAACGATAGTGAGGGCGATCAGGTCGTCAACGAATTTGACAGGGGACACCTTGAGCACCTCCTCTCCTTCTCCTCTCAACAGCCCGTGACGGTGACGAAGGTTGCGAAGGGTTGGGTCGAAGGTAGCGGTGATCTCGGGGAAGTCGGAGTCATGCTGGCTTTGCTCAAGCTTGCGAGTGAGAAGGTTATAGACAGCAACGAACAGCATAGGGCCCTCCACACTACCCCGGCGAACTCCGCGTGGAATGAGTGGCTTACGGATGGGGCGATTGGTGCGGATGTCCCTGGCAATGTAGCATGTGCCCTCGTGGAGCTCCTCAGCGGTCAGACGCGCTTCCCGTCGTATTGCAAGGGCTTCGAGGGCCTGCCAGATCTCATCGCGGTCAATCAAGTCGAAGGCCTTTTCCAGATCGATCAGGACTGCCACGAGCATGCCTGGGACCGTCGCAGAGCCGAGCCTGGACGTGCGGCCGTGGAGTCGGTAGCGTCGGATAACCTCGGCCACGATCGCGGTCGCGCCCCTCGTAGAGCGGCCTGCCAGCGCGCCGAACTGCGTGTGAGAGAGCTTGCTCGCCAGGTTGCGGAGGGGCGGCATCGCGGTGACGTTCATGTAAACCTTGCCAATGTGGTTGATGAGGTTGATGGTCCTGTAGTGGTCCTTGGCGTTCTTGCCATCGCCCTTCGGCTTGCGCAGGGGGGCA